CGTTTTCATAATGGAAACAGTGACTGCGATTGTGACTACGACGAAGACGTCTACGACCACTACTATTACTACGACTACGATTGCGATCAAGGGCGGAAATGACACTGCCACTACGACTACTTCCACGCCGATTGCGACGACGACTACTATTACGATTCCGAGTGTGACGATTGCTACTACTTGCGCGACAATTCGTTTTACGATTCCAGGCATCTGCAGATTTATTGTTACTGTTATTGTTCCGTCGATCACTAGTACTACTACTACTACTGCTGCTACTACTACTACTACCACTACTACTACTACTACTACTACTACTACTACTACTACTACTACTACTACTACTACAACTAGTACTACTATTACTACCACCGCTACGACTACTACTACGACTACCACTACTACTACTACTACTACTACTACTACTACTACTACTACTACTACTACTACTACTACTACTACTACTACTACTCTTACTCTTACTACTACTACTACTACTACTACTACTACTACTACTACTTCTACATCTTCTTCTACTACTACCACCACTACTACTCCTACTTCTACTTCTACTTCTACTTCTACTGCTACTTCTACTACTACTACTACTACTACTACACTAACCTACTACTACCACCCCACTACTCCTACTACTACTACTACTACTACTACTACTCAACTACTAACTACTATATACTCTACTACTCACCATTACTAACTTCTCCTACTACTTACTACTACTACTACGACTACTACTCTACTACCCTACACTAGCACACGAGTACTAACTACTACTAACGACTCTACTACACTACTACCGACTATGTAACTACTACTGACTACTACTATTACCACGACTAACTATCTACTTAAACTACTACTACTACTACTACTACTAACTAGTACCCACTACTACTACTCTACTACTACGACAACTACTACTTTTACTACACTACTACTACTACTACTACGCCTATTCCTACTCCTACTCCTACTCCTAAACTACTACTACTCCTACTACTACTACTACTGCTACTGCTACTGCTACTGCTTCTTCTACTACTTCTACTACTAGTACCACTACTACTACTTCTACTTCTACTTCTACTTCTACTTCTACGTCTACTTCTACTTCTACCTCCTGATACGACGACTACTACTACTACTACTACTACTACTACTACTACGACTACTACTACTATTACTACGACTACTACTACGACGACTACTACTACTACTACTACTACTATCACCACTACTACGATTGCGACTACTACTACTACTACTACTACTACTACTACTACTACTACTACTACTACTACTACGACTACTACGACTACTACAACTACAACAGCAACAACAACAACAACTACTACTACTACTACGACTACTACTACTACACCTACTACTGCTATTACTACTACTACTACTACCACCATTACGGCTACTACTACTACTACTACTACTACTACTACTACGACTACTGCTACTATTACTACTACGACTGATATTACTCCTATCTATAGTGTTACTACAGCTGTTGCGAGGACGATCAGTTTTGTTGCTAGGTCATTGCGATTGTCTGTGCCAGTGGAACTGCTAGAGCTGCAGCTGCTGGGACTGCCTGGGCTATTGGAGCAGCGTATCATTAGGATGAATATCATGCGTGCGAATACGAAAAGTATTACCGAACTTGTATTTCGGCTACTACGGCAACTGAGACTGCTACGACCTGCTACGACTACGACGACGATTGCGAGTATTATTGCTGCCGCGCTTGTTAGTGTTGCTACTGCTGCTAGTACTGCAGGAGGTTTCATTTGTCAGCTATTCACATGTTTACAACTCCCACCTGCGACCACGACTACCAATGCTACCACTACCAATGCTGGTGTTACGATTCTTCCCACCACCCGTACTACTACTTGCACTTGTACCAATAATTTTCCGAATATGACTACGAATTACGTTTGTAGTGTCCTGCTACTATTACCACTACGACTACTGCGAAGAGTACATGTGTTTTCATAATGGAAACAGTGACTACGATTGTGACTACGACGAAGACGTCTACGACCACTACTATTACTACGACTACGATTGCGATCAAGGGCGGAAATGACACTGCCACTACGACTACTTCCACGCCGATTGCGACGACGACTACTATTACGATTCCGAATGTGACGATTGCTACTACTTGCGCGACAATTCGTTTTACGATTCCACGCATCTGCAGATTTATTGTTACTGTTATCGTTCCGGCGATCACTAGTACTACTACTACTACTACTACTACTACTGACAACTACTCGAATTACATTACACCACCGCTACGAACTTCCTACTACTACTACAACTACTACTCTACTACTCTAACTACTACTACTACTACTACTACTATACTACTACTACTACTGCTGCTGCTGCTGCTACTACTACACTACGACTACTATACGACTACTACTACTACTACTACTACGACTACTACTAGTACTAC